TTCCTTTTCTGCTTTGTCTTTTTTGATGCGATCATTTATCCCACCATTGTCACTTTTTATCATGGTATTGAAAACCGGACCGGACCGGCCGGGTCAACCCGAAAACCGGTGAACCGGTCCCCTGTCCGGTCTGGGTTTGCACTTAACCCGGTGAGGGAGTGAACCGGTGTAACCCGGTCAACCCGGGTTCAACCCGGTATAACCCGGATAACCCGGTGGGTTGACTGGGTTAACCGGGTTAATATTTTTTCAGACTTTTACCCCAAAACGACGTCGTTTTTGATTTTTTTTTTCATTTTTAATTTTTCAGAGCTCTGAGTTCGGAAAAAAATAACAAAAAAAAGTAAAATTGAAGTCAAAAAATAAAAAATTAGAGATAGAGCATGCTAAGTCCAAAAATATAGTATTTTATTATTGTTAGACTTTTGAGTGGTTGGATTTGGTTGAATTTTTTATGATTAATGTCTTTTTATTTAAATTGTATTATTTTAATAATGACCGGTTTGCCACCGGTTCAACCCCCGGTTCAACCCTGATTGAACCACTAACCCGTGACCCAGTGCCATGACCGGTTTAATGACCGGTCCGGTTTTACGTACCTTGCTTTTTATATCTACAGCGGCTCATCTATGCTGCACACGGATCAAATTTTAGAAAGAATGAGAGCAGCGGGATGAAACTATAAAGGACTAAAAATAAAATATAATCATCAAAGTACAGTCTATTATATAAATTCTCTTATATAAATTCTCTATATACTCATGGGAAAATTAATCTATCTGTTCTTCTAGTTTTCATCAACTTTGAAGTAGGTCCATATAATTTATTTTATTTTAATCAAGTCATTAAATGTTGAAATTATTAATGAATGATTCACGTTTTCTGAACTAAAAAAATTAAAATTTATAAAAAAATTGATTTAATACTTATACAAAAAAGGAAAATTGATTTAATAGAATGTTTACATTTTTATTAATTTTTTATGAAAATTATATGCACACACAATTATTTAGAAAATATAGTCTAATTACATAAATTTTGAGTTATCAAAATTATATAATTAGTTCCAAAGTTATATGATATTTTAATACAAATATAAAAGTGTTTTAATTTTAATTTTAAAGTGAACAATTTAAGAATTTTAACTCGCGGGATTAAGATATTTAATTGATCAAATTATAAAGATTTGATTAAAACATGACTTAATTTAAAAGTGAAAAAAACTAGAAGCACACGCAAATTAATTTTGTCTGTATTTCTTTACAGGCGTACTTAATATCATCAGTGAATTGAAAAATGAGAACAAGCTTTTTATCCTTGATTGGTAATTGATGTCCCGAATGGAATTACCGGGCGCACGTGCATTCATTGACCAGAGTACAGATGCAGAGAGATTAATGGGCATCAGTGGATACAGAAGAAGCAGTGAGCGTTGATGATTGCTGGCTTCTCCGTCCGTCCGATCTCGTGGAATGGTTTCTGGGACGATTATTATTCTGCTGGCGTCAAAAATTTTGGCTTTCGCTACGTTTGAGTAATCTCTACTCCACTCCTTTTTTATTTAATTTAGGTTTAAATGTATAAAATTTTCTTAACTCTGAAGCAGTTTTACAGGACTCCTCTTATATTTAAAAATTTAAAATTAATTCTTTAATTTTTAATTTTATTTTTTAAAATCTGTTACTGTTAATTATATTATTTTTTCATAAAAATTAAAATATTATTAAACAATATATTATATTATAGAACTATAATTAATTAATTTTTTATATTTTTTTAAATAGTTGAAGCATTGATAATAGTTAAAATAAATATTATTATCATTATATAAAATTTTAAATATATATTTTTATATTAATTTTATTTTTATTATTATTAATGATATATAATTTATTTTTTTTAAAAAAGTTAACCTATTATATTCAGGTGTGCAATATACTCATTCGTATAGTCAGCATTTTCTTTTAAGTCCCTTTGAGACACGACAAGGAGCTTTGAATGGGGGGAATCTTTGATTTTGAAAGGCGATCCCCACTAAAATTCCAACTATACCCTGCCACGAGTAGGGGAATGAATGAAATAGTAGACATACTCTTGCTAATTGCTACGTTTAATTTAACGAGCACAGGAATTAAAACCATTCATGATGACAAGCCTATTTTAGAGATTGTAATATAGCCCTGCCTAGGCTGGCATCTTTTATTGTTATCCATGATAGACAAGTTTACTGTGATAATCTTGGTAATCACTAACATTTTAAATTAAATTTTAAACAAATGACGTGCGCTGGTGCGGCAGTAGAACGGCTAGGTAGCGGACACATGGTTCACAATCACCCAGGAAAGTGCATTAATGGGGTTGATTAGCAAAACAATACCCTTATCTCAATAATTTAATCAAAAAGATTGGGACAATGACTGGCATGTCAGCCAACCAGCGTCTTGCCCCTCCTTTATTCAAAATTTGCACCGTGGACCACCAAAAGAATCACTTTCCGTATGATAAGCTCATGTTCCTTCCTTTGTTTTTTCTTTACCGTGTGCTATTATTTAGTTTCTTTTTATATTTAACTTTTTCTAAATATTAAAAATTTATTGTTTTAAATATAGAGTGGATAAAATAAAAAATTATTTCGATAAATCTTTTATTTTTTACATATTTTAATAATTTAAATATCTTTTTATTTTGACAAAATAATTAAAATTAGAAATACTCTACACTTAGAATCATAAGAGAAAGTAACATAGTCCAATATGTTACTGACTCTATTTCTATATATAAAATATTTTTAATTTAATCATTCAAGTTAATAAAAGTTAGTTATCTAATTAAAAATACAATAACATTCTAATTTTATTCTTAATTATTATAAATAAAAAATAAATATATTTTTTTAAAAATAAATTAATGAAAGTATTTATTATTTTTTTAATTTAATAACAGTATAATGATCTATTTATTAAAAAAATATTAACAAACTTTTATATTTAAGAATAAAAAGAGTTTTAGAAGATTATATACATATATATATATATATATATATAAAGGAAGTAATTCATAATTTTATAATTGTTATTATTCTTGCGGCTCCTGCTAGTATATAGTAAAATAAGAAAACCTACGCGGTCCTTTAATCTTCACTGTGTGCATGCACGGACTTTATTTCTCGTCGGAAAAAGAATAGAATTTTTGTTGTATTCCGCGGAGGCATAAAAATGCGAGAAAGAGGAGCGGAGCAAGAGAACAAAAAGTAACCCATTTTCCCACAAGAATGCGAAATCAATTGCTATGGCACATCCATCCTAAACAACGGTGCTTTCAATTTCACGATGCAAGGCAGGGGGATTATACGAGGTTCGTGCGCATTCTTGAAAGCACAGCTCCAAATTTATCTATGATGACTACAATAGACTACTTGAGTATCTCTAAGAAATCAACAAACGAGAAAAATTCAAGACAGGTTTATCGGTCACTGGGAATATATTAGAGCCCCCATTCGGGACAGCGCGTTTTTAGATAAGAGAGACAAATATTCCCATGATGAATAGCAATTATGCCGTGAGGTTTAAATTTGATCTCCCAGGTCCGAACCTACTGCAAGTTAACAAGGAAAGTGCCAGGTGTCTTTTCGTGCATTGTAAATTTAAAATCACATTAGTGTAATATTCGGTATAAAAAGACATTTCCTTAAAGAAGGAGAAATATGCATTAGTTAAAAGATGAGAATGGTGATGTTCCCATGTATAATTCTCCAGAACCTCTTAGTTTGTTGACACAGTTTAAACTCCCCGGGCATTGTACGGCACAGTTGAAATGTATGTAATTTGATTTAAATATCAATCCTAGTTTGTTGACACCAGGCTTTGGAAAGAAATTGCATGTCATCGAAAATACAGTCCATCTCACATTTCAAGGTCACCAAATTTTAATTTGCTTTTTGCGGAATGATATGTGAGTTCCCCTTTCGGTTTTGTAGCAGGCCAGGAATTTGCATTGTTTTTTTAATATCTGAAACATCTGAATTATAAATCTCTTTTTATTGCTCATAATGTCCTCATACTCCTACAAACAACCTTATTCGAGATGATTAGATATTAAATGCAGGGACTTTGTTTTTCTTTTAAGGTCAAGCGTTGTTAATGATTCGGTGGTGATTTTTGTTTTTGTCCGCGATATATTGAAAATTCACCCCAACGGATAAAACATTAAATCATATTGTTAATTGTACATGGTTGTCGCAATTTGACATGGGAGTTTTAATCTATGGCCCTCGCAAGATGACTTTCATTTTTTAATTGTCCATTCTAAAGAAATTACTACCCTGCAAACCCTTGTTCTGTATCCAAAATATATGTTATTGATGATCGACAAACACGCATGTTTTAATTTACAAATCTCATATCATAATTGAAAATATACAGTTTGTGGCAAAAAAAAAAATTGAAAATATACGGTTTGGTTTTGCAGTAAAGGCACGGGTTGTTTGATGCTTTTTATCTGAACGCTATGTTTAATTGCAGAGTTAGGAGCTGTTTTTTTTGTTTTTTTAAAGTAGATTAAAGGAACTGATGTTTCAAGCTGCGTCAATAAACAAATTAATTAAGGAAAGATTAGTCATGGATCCTCGCTTAAACTGTGAGAACTTATATATTAATAAAGACAAATTAAATGGTTCCCATCGGTCAAAACTCAAAAGTTTATATTTTCACCAGCAACTTAATCCACTTATCTTTATTTTATCGATAATTATAAGTAGTTAATCAAGACATTAATTGTAATATCAACATGGAAACGCATGGGAACAGAACGCTCAGACCGAGTAAAACATGTGAGGGCATGGGGGTAAAAATAGAGAAAAAGGGGGGGTAATTACAACTTACAAGGATGACGTGAGCAGGAGAGGAAGCCGCAATAGGTGAAGACCAGGAGACCACCACTCCAAACTCAGGACACTGTTTCAGAAACCGACAAAAGCAACCTGTGCCACAGCCTCCCACCTCGGTCTCTCTCTCCCTTTCTCTCCCCTCTGAGGCGCACTTCCTCTCTTGTTTATTTACTATTTTTCACAGAAGATTGAGAAGAAGACAGAATGTTATAGCTCACCAGAGGCAGCCCCCAATTGAAACCCCTGCTTTCTTCACCATCCTCCACCTTGCCCACAACACACTCTCCTTCTTGCTCCAACCAGTTTTTCCATTTCCCATCTTGCCTTCCTGGACAAAATGATAGCTCTCTACAAGCTCGAAGCTCGTGGCATGGTGTAGTTTACCTCTATCTCAAACCCCGCCTTCCATTCTCCTGCTCTCTCCCTCTCTCGCTTTTACTTTCCTTCGTTCTTTTCTTTACTTTCCTTTTATCTCTCTCATTGTCTGTCGGCAACTTCCTCTGCTGGAGGATGGCCTGCCGGATGCTGATCGCCGGGAACTTGGATCCAGAGAGAAAGAGGTGTGGCGGCTTGAGGACTAAACAAGCGGGCAGAGGATCGTGCCGCGGCAGTTAGGATTCCCAACCTGCAACTCCCCGGGAAATGCATGGTTTCCGGCTTTGACCTTCCCTTTTTCTGTTGATATTCCATTTGTTCGGAAGCTTTTTCGTCGTTTTTGAATCCCGTCGTTGAAAAGATGGGCCTTTTGTTGAAAGAAGTTCTCAAGAGTCTCTGCAGTCGGAATCGATGGTCTTACGCTGTCTTCTGGAAGATCGGCCGCCATAATCCCAAGTAAGGAAAGATTCAGTCTTTTTTAACGCCCTCTTTTTATCCACCTGCGAACTGATTTGTTCCTTGTTTCTTAAAATTTTTACTTGCATCTCAGTTCGGGTTTGGGGAAAAATTCCTTCTATCTCATTTGTAGTCTGCATTGCTCTTGTTCCTATTTTGGAGTTTTATGCTTTGATAGCTTCTGTTTTGTCTTGAAGAATCTTAGTAATATATATATATATGCAATGGGTTTGACAGGCTCACTGTTTGATTGTTTTTCTATGAAGTATGAAAGAATCTGTTAATTCAGAACTTGTCCTCTTCTTTTGATTCTATTCGGTCTTATTCTCATATTCCATTAATGAAAAGCTTTCCTTTTCTTTTCAGCTAGCAAGAGATTAATCTGCTGGCCTATCTTTGTCAAGATGAAATACGATGCGTCACGGGATATATTTTGCGGTTTTATTGAGAAAAATATTGTAGGAAACACTATATTATGTTTTTGTTCTCCTCAACCATGGGGAATTTGTCAGAATATATCATTGTTGCTTATCAGAGTCATACTCTTGCATTTAAACTATGCACTCAAGCTACAATGGACGTTGACAAATTATTATGCCTTCGACTTCTATAATTCTTTCTTTATAATATCTATTATTGAGTTAACCCAATATAATTTTGCTCGGCAGGCTGTTAATTTGGGAAGATTGCTATTATGAACCCTTGCCATATCAATTTCCTAGGCGCATCGCCCGAACAGAGACTTCTAATTTGCCTTTTGGGAGTGGGGAAGGCTTCTGGCGTTCCTCTGATGCTCCTTCTTATATTGGAACCCAAGAAGAGGACAGCGTCTGCGCTTTGATCAACAAAATGATGGCGAACAATTCGGTCAATGTCATGGGTGAAGGGTAGGTTTTATCTATGTTCACCCTCTCCTCATTCGCGGGGTTCCTATAGTTGAAGTGCTTTTCTTGTCATTCCCAAACATTTCAAGTTTTTATTTTGACTGTTATTCAGGATCATTGGACGGGCTGCATTTACAGGAAACCATCAGTGGATTCATTTGAACAATTTTAGAAGAGAAACCTATCCATTGGAGGTATGAAGTTAACGATTTGCTTCCACGTTGCTAAATAACATTTTTTTTTTTTGGGTAGAAAATGGGGCAAAGCCGGAATGATATTATTCGCTAGTACATAAGATGAGGGACTGAATTTCCCACGGAATCTCGATACATCAAAGAGACAAACTCATTAGGAGGCGTCTTAATGATAACAACATCGTTTTATTCCTGTGAAGAGTGAATGAACACTTTTCACTGTATAATTTGATCATTGTCGATGCTCGCTGAAGTGTAATGGAAATTCATCTGAAAAATTGAAACTTACAACTTGGTCTATGCATGTAAATGTGTGTGAATCTATTATAAAAACTAAGTGACATAAGGCCCTTGCATGAGAAAGATTTCCTGCGGAAGCTTCGAGGCTTGGAATGCGTATACAAATTAACTTCATTTTGATGGTTACATTTATTGATGTGTTCTTTTCAGGTGTGCAATGAGGTGCATCTCCAGTTTCTAGCTGGAATGAAGGTTTTGTGACTCTCTTTATGCTCTGCAGTTTGCTGTAAACTCTGTTTTGCTGTCTTATAATGCCATATCATGGTGATTTGCAGACCGTAGCAGTTATTCCTGTGCTTCCCTATGGGGTTGTTCAGCTTGGTTCTTTCTTGCCAGTAAGTCCTATTATCAGGTTCTTTAACCGTATATGCATGTGATGGCAATGTCTTCAAGTATTCCATATAGGTTATAAAATTTGTGGATCAAGAACGACTTCTTTAGATTAAGCATTTGAAAGTCTGTTGTGTCAAAGTTTGTCACTAGATCTTGCAAAGCTTTTTGTTATCACATGAGCTTTACCGGTTTATATTGGCTATTCTCTAGTTTTGAGAGTTCTGATAAAATGAAGCCAAATAAGTCAGTTGTTACATTCTGCTCAAAGGTTCTCAACTAATGTGACCATATTTTCTACTGTAGATAACAGAGAACATGGGATTAGTGAATGAAGTGAAGAGCTTTACTATGCAATTTGGGTTTGTCACTGATGCTCTTTCATCTGAAGACTTTTCGGCAAAAGCTTCTATTGAAAAATTTGGTAATCCTGTTACTGTTGGGGTGCCAGTGTCTGTTGATCAACCAGTAATTACCTCCTGTCCCACACCCTCAGAAACTTATGTCTCCAACCAAGAAATCAATTTGTCTCATACTTCAAGGCCTATTGTTCAACCAGCTCATCCTCGTAGGGGAGAGATAAATAACCACCAGTGTTCTGTATTGACACATCAAACCCCTAACATTACTCATGCATTATCCAATTACCATGGTAATCTTTGTGAAACTTCAGCAATGCCAATGATGAATCCAAGTTTTGATTTTCAGCCTGAGAATTTAGTTGTGGAGGCAGAGGGGATGCCTTTGAATCTTGACTCATGTCTGCAACAACATACTGCCTCATTGGATGCTAGGTCTGCACTTATTCACAGTCACAGCACTGTTAGTTCTTCATCAATTCATTGTGGAACGAGCAGACTTTTGAGGCCAAATCTCATTGCCAGCTCTGCTTCTAATCCTTCTAAAGTTGCCACAGCTGATTTTTGTGAAATCAGGAAAGCTGGGACTGGGCTTCAAAATGATGGTTTAACTAATGGAGGGGGCTACCCTCTACCTAACTTGACCAGTCAATTTGGTACTTGTCCCTGGTCTCTAGAAGATTCTGATCAGAAGAATATTCCTGAAGATTTAAAGCATGTTCATGATAAATCAGCTCTAACGGGCCAAAGGATGGATGATGATCAGCTGTATGGCATTAAGATCCCATCTTTTCATCTTGAGGAGCAGCAGGTGTCTATGAAACATCACTTCTCTCCTTGTCTTCCACCTCCATCAAGTGATGACCTATTTGATGTTTTAGGCGTGGATCTTAAAAACAAACTTCTGAATGAAAACTGGAATAAGTTGCTTGCCAAAGAATCAAATGCTGGTACTGAAATTCTGGATAACAAGGCAGCACGTTTGAGTGTGCTAGATGTGGATCCTGATGTTTGTTCAATCAAAGAGGCCATTTCAAACAGCGGTGTCTTCTCTGAGAGGGGAAATGACCATCTCCTGGATGCTGTGGTCTCAAGAGCGAAGTCTCTTGGGAACCAGGATTCTGATGATATGTCTTGCTGGACAACATTGACGGGGACTAGTAATGCTTCTGTACCCTCTCCTGCCTATTGTAAGGTTATATCTGATCATACTAGGGGTGAATTCTTTGGTTTTCCTAAAGATTTGGGTAAAGCAGGTGCCGCAGAAGCTAGTTCTCTTAGGTCTGGATGTAGCAGGGATGATGTTCGAAACTGTTCTCAAGCTAATTCCATTTATGGATCTCAACTGAGCTCATGGGTTGAGGATGCTACAAATGTAAAGCGTGAAAATAGTGTCTCAACTGGATACTCTAAGCAGCCTGATGAAGTTTGTAAATCAAATCGTAAAAGACTTAAGCCTGGGGAGAACCCTAGACCTCGTCCTAAAGATCGCCAAATGATTCAAGATCGTGTGAAAGAGCTACGGGAAATTGTGCCAAATGGAACCAAAGTAAAGCCTTTCCCTTGTCTTTTCTCCAATTTTTTCTTCTTAAAGTATCATATTCAGAATATTGAATTTATTCTTAAATCTTTTAATATGATGTCACAGTGTAGCATAGATGCACTTCTTGAACGTACTATCAAGCACATGCTTTTCTTGCAAAGTGTGACAAAGCATGCTGACAAGCTAAAACAAACACGGGAATCTAAGGTATGGAGTGTGGACACGATGCATATCTTTGTTTTGTTATGTCTGGCAACTTATCTAGTCATGACATATAAAAGTTTTCACTTTTATGGGCATTATGTTAATATATTAAATTTTTAAAATAGTGAACATAACGAGATAGTATATTTGGTATTTAATTGTCCTCTTGTCCTTATCCATATTATTCATATAAAGATATGCAGTGAAACAGTGGTTCACATAAATTACCATTCAGAAGTCAGAACCCTTAGAATTTAGAAACACTATAAAAACTTGGTCTTCTTCTTCCTTGATTCTCTGAAGCACTACTAATACGAACGAGAAGTTGAAATTAGAGGCTCTCAAATTATTGATTAGAGAAATTGAAGATATTGACGTTCTTTCTTCCTAAATATGCAGATTATGAGTAAGGAAGGTGGACTGCTTTTAGAAGATAATTTTGAGGGAGGTGCTACATGGGCATATGTGATTGGCTCACAATCAATGGTTTGCCCCATCATAGTTGAGGATCTGAATCCCCCTCGTCAGATGCTAGTGGAGGTAGTGTGTGGTTCTATAATAATCTATCATAGAATTCTTTTGGCACTATCTTATTTCTGGATCACCTCTATAATCTGTGTGGATGATTAATCTATACAGATGCTTTGTGAAGAACGAGGTTTCTTTCTGGAAATAGCTGACTTAATCAGAGGATTGGGGTTGACCATCTTGAAGGGGGTGATGGAAGCCCGAAATGACAAGGTCTGGGCATGCTTTGCTGTAGAGGTAATGCCGTAGAAAAGGACTTGCATTTTCTTATGGTCTGAACTGGATAATGAATTGTCCATATTGGATGAAAGTTGCTATGGGGAAACGTCGTGTTTTCTCCTAGGCATCCGGCGTGCTAGTATCTTTATGATTGTATGCTAATGTTGAAAATGCCAACGCTGAGAGAATGTTGGATAACATGAAAATTTTTAGAAATCTCATTCGTTGATAGCCCATGCATATTTGAATTATACTTAAATTTTTTATCGTAGAAAAATGGAGATTTAGAAATTGTTATCTCAAATGCTAATTTGAACTCGTTTAAGTATCCCAAATTCTCCTTTTCCGTAAAGTGTCAGTACTCAGGACTGTCATCCAACTGCTCATTTATGCACATTGATCATTAAAATAAAGATAGCATGCACAATTAACTGAGGATTTGTGCAGTCTCTTTTTTCAATGTTGGTTGTCCTTTTTTCTAAACGCCCTAAGGGTAAGGAGTCTGATGTGATTTATTTTTATTGGTTGGGCTATTTAATTACATGTAAGTTTTGCAGGCAAATCGGGACGTAACAAGGATGGAGATATTTATGTCACTGGTTCATCTTTTGGAGCAGACGGGGAAGGGCAGTGCATCTATATCAAACCCTATGTATCACTCCTTCCCTCAAGCCGCCAGATAGCAGCAGCTGGCGGACCTAGTAGTTTGCAGTGAATCGCCTGCACTCTGTTTTCTTGCTCTGGATGTGTTGAGAGCAACTATGCTTGCCGTGATTAACATCCAATCCAGTCTGAAGACTCCAGGCGGACTTAACTTTGTCTAACTGTCATCTTTCCTCATTTTGGAGGTGAATGTGTTTAGTTCCTAAAGAACACCTCAAGATAAGTGGTATTTCCACTGTTGCTAACTGGCGTCCGCCATGGTAACTTGTCATGTGTTGACTGTCTCCCCCAGTGCTGCTATTAGTGTGACTCTTGAGATGACTTGTATGGCTGTAACCAATTTTTATGGGGAAGCTTATTGGTGGGTGGTGTTATTCACGTGTATAGATAGATATTCTAGGTTGTGTAAGGGAATCATATTTACTAGCAACGCTAGGAACTTTCTGCTTGATTTATTGGCGTGGTGTTTTTTGATGTGTTAGATAAAACCCGTGTTAATATCAAAACCATTTGTGGCTTGTATCCTCTAAATACCAAACCCGTGCTGCTGTTTGTGAACAACCATCAAATTGTTTTTTGTACTTGGGCAACCTCAGTTTGGGTAATTACTCACGGCTTTTCTAAGATTCAGATCAAACTGTGAGCTTACTGATATTCAGATTTGTTCTCGGATTTACTTTGCGATGTCGATCATTGTCGCCCACGCCGCAAGGTTCCTTTTCTAGTCACAAAACCCGGGGTGAAAATTGACGCGTTTTTTATTTCTTCTCATCCACGAGTAACTATCGGATGCTTTCGGGGGCTCTGATTTGTTTTTCTTTTTGGTTATTTTTAACGCGTAATCTTCCGGCTCTGATTGGTTTTGGTTCAGTGAATTTCTTGCATAGGCTAAAAGTCTTGTGGTATTCATAATCCATTCAACAAAATTGTATTGATTTAATGAAATAAAATTTTAATCTCTCTTTATTTTTAATGATTTAATTTTCAAAATAGACAGCTGCTTTAACTTATTTCCTTTTTTTTTCTTTCTACTATTGACCATTATTGTATATTTTATTGGATAATTTACAGATAACGTGGTGCACTAAGTTTATAAGAATATCTCTCTGCTGCAACATTTGTGTTATGGAGCGTTTGGAGTTTAAGCTCTCACTACACCATGATATTAGATTATGATTGCAATTCAGATGATTAGATAGTTTGGTTAAATCCAAGGAAAAGTAATTTAGTTAGGTCCAGTTTAATTGCTAGAAAGAAAAAGAATTGAATGTGTAGATTTATGGAGTCCGAAGGCATACCTGTTAGTATACAGGTAATACTTCTATGCAAATGGCTGAGTTACTTGAATGTTGTCTCCAGTTCGTAGCAAATACACTACTACAAAGAAGAGGAGAAGAGAATGAAGTATTCATCGAGAGTAACCTTACGTAGCCAATTGTTCACATTTAATTATAGCCTCTAACACTATATGGGTAGTTTTCAAATGCCAGTCTCATAAAAATTGTTCCCACACACTAAAATGGAGATATTACGCTTAAGGACCCAAATAACTTATTAGTATCTAGTTGAGCCTCATTCAACAATATGGGCTTAGGTGTAGGCTAAAACTAGATCCACCAAAGGTGAACTTACTAAATCCAACAAAATGGATTGAAAAAATAAAAATAAAAAATATATGATCAAAATGTGGAAAAGGATAAGCGAACCATATTTATAAAGGAGAATGATAATTTAATTTATGGAGTTAGATTCATAAAATTTTTAAAAGATGTGATGATTTTCATACTTATTATATATAACATTGAGCTTTATCATGCTTATCAAAAATGAAAAGGGTGATTTATTTTTTTTTTCTCAATCCATTTTATTCTAATATTTTTTAGCAACCAAACGGGACCTTAGGTTTTATCAAGAGCAGTGCACTTAATTGCTTGGTGCACTAAGCCAATTCCTAAGGTCCTTAAAAAACTATGGAATTCTTAACTTTAGGAAATCTTGTCGTCCCCCATAAGCAACTTTTTAAGTTTTGACTTTTGGGATTCGAGTGTCCTACAAACTGCCAAGTACATGCCAAGTGAAATGAGAAGCAAAAAGGAGGATTTGTTGGTGGATGTCTTGATCATATAAATCCATCAAGCCTAAAGTAACTGATTTTCCGTGTATTTAATTAATGACCAAAGTGAGAGGTATTGTCAGTGCGTGTCACTATCTAGCGTAGACCACCAACACTTCGCAAGAAATTGATGCAGCTTCATCCTATTGCTGGAGCCACTAGTTGACCCTCTCAATATAGGTCTTTTAAGTTTTAACTATATGCCCGGTTAAGCAGGCTGTTATTTATTTAGTGCAGGCAAACAGGATAATAAGAATGCAATTATGTTGGACATATCATTGCAGCAAGCACCCCTAATACGACATCGAATATAGAATTTTCTCAAGGCATACATAATATACATTTTTTTAACAAGTACAGAACAACAAGAAATCTGACGTGCTAGCATCTTTTTGCATCTAACTATCAGTGGCCACAGTTTGATTTGAGAAAACCTGAACCAATTGAAATAGATGGAGACTGAGATGATGCTCTAGCCTGCATTTTCAGTGAGAAAACTAAAAGAAATATTCACTCACACAGAATATTTTAGTGAGGAACATATCTACTAGACATTCCACAGTACAACGGAAGAATAAAAAGATGGTGGCAGACACATCCCATGGACAGGAAGCAGTTTTAGGAAATAGCTAGGCTCTTCTTGTTTTTTGGCCAAAAATAGCTACGCTCTTCTCAAAGATCATTTTTCGTTACATAATCTTCTGATTACATGTCATTGGTTTTGATTATTCACATGCTTTTCATTCCTTGAGCTTTCCCATACATGTCTAATACAGCCGCCATTTGGCACTACTTTATTCTGATTGAGGCAAGTGGGGTGTTTTGTCAAGAATGATGGGTTTCGGCTATAAAATGAGATAGCAAACAAATGATGGGTTGAGCCTGTGATTTGAAGAGCCTCTCTGAAAGCTAAATCAGGGTTGTAATGCAGAAAACACCACGTGTGGACGGGCTTTCACTTTCACATTAAATAATCTTTTCTGAGAATATATCTAGTGGGGAGAGCTACTATCTGTAGATGGTCTGAAAATTGAGGTGCTATAATTTTTAGGTCGTACCAGAACCCCAAATCAAATGCATGATCGAGAACTGAACAAAATGAGCAAGAAACGTTTGTTTTGGAAGAGTGTGACCATCCATCCATGAGGATACAGAATTGTACTGTCACTGATAATTTCTTCTCTCTTATCAAAGACATGAAAAGGAATTTCATTTTCAGTCACTTGAAAAAAAAAAAAAGCAATAACCAACAGTGAAACTCATGATCGTCATTTTCACTTCACATCCGTTTTCATCCTTCAATAGAAGCATACACAGCGCGCTCGTGAACATGCTGGAAAGATACTTCTTGAGGAGAGAGAGGCGAAAAGACAAAGGGTATAAGCAGATTTGCAGATAAGGGCTCTTCGCGTCTAAGAACGATAATTCCTTAATCAAATAGTAGCTCGTATCTTTATAGAGGTTGCTAGCTTCTTTGAACAGGGATCAGAAAAAAGAGAGCTACATAAAAGATTCAGATATAAAATTGTTCTTTTCGGTTGCCAGCCATCTACATTTGGTTAGTTTTAACGCGGGGAGCCAGAGCCAGGGACCTACATAGCCACTTCATCAAGCAGTTACAAACAAGATGCAGATATGATCATAAGAAGATCCCCTTGTATTATAATGGATATGAGTTCACACTTGTCCCTTTCATGAAAAGTTATCCTTATCACTCGTGTCACCTAGGCTGATGCTTGAACCTGAGAAGCTATGGGAAATTGATAGTTAATTCACACGGTTATTTTGGGGTGATGTGAGGGGTTCTAATTGCTTGATGCAAGCCTGCTTCCATAAACTGAAACTGACACTGCCGCAGGACATGCTACTAAGAGTCCAGAAGATTGGAACTGAACTCAACCAAACTGAACAATTGAGTTCCTACGCATGTTCAAACATTATCAAACTTGATGCCTCACGTTTGATTATTAAAATGAAATGTAATGGAATGAGGGAAAAAATCAAGATAAAAATAAATTAAAAACACCCTTTCTTATACTAAAACTTATTAATATATACTACAAATGTGATTATCACACCTTTCAAAAATCTCATGAATTATAATTCTTAACTTTGTAAATTAAATTATCTCTTTCTTGTGAATGTACTCACTTATCCTCTTTGATCATATTATTTTTACATTTATTTTTTTAATACATTTTCTTCCAATTCTTTATAAAATGTGACCTTAGTTTTTAGATTATCCCTTCATACTTCACACTGATGCTAACTTTTCATCACATGAAACATAGGTAATGTGAATTAATGAGTTAACTCCGAAAATTCAGGAAATTGGATTGACCTCCTCAAAAGCAGGCCAAACATAATGGAATCGGTCGTAAGAAACATATCTTTCTTGTCACCTGCTTTAATTCATGTGGCTGCAGCTTTTGATTTCTGCGTTCATGTGAATTCACGTGGCTCTAGAGGACTCCAAGTGGCGCCTCCTCCGATCCTCTTCAATTTAGGAAAGTTTCTTAAATCATGAGAATTCATCAATTAAGAGTAATTAAGAGACCTTTTAAAAACTTTCCTAAAGCTAGAAACTTAAATCTCAAAACAAATAAACCCAAATAAGGAAACAAATAAAAAGTACTATTCAGCAGTAAAGTTAAAATATAAAATAGAGAACAAAATATAATCAAATCTCGTAAAATAGGAAATTAATTATTGTATATATCCACACCCTATTGAGATGCAACATTATTGACATCTTAGCAAAGAATTAAAAACTGAAGATCATTAAACCAATCAAAATTATTAAAGGTCAAATTGGATTTAAATCGGTCATAATAAAATAAAATAATTTAAATGAAAATAAAATTCAATTCAAATAACAATAAAATGTAAGTGACAAAAATTATATGCTTTTACAAGCACTCCTTCTTTAGCTGATAGTGTGAACTTAGGGACTCCATCTGACTAAGTTTCCTATTATGTTTATTTATAAAAAAAAACTATATTATACAATATAAAATTTCTACGGAAAGTACAATTTCATATATTCTTTTTGTTTTTATTTATAAAAGAAACTATCACTTTTTACTTTTTTTTATAAAGCAAAATCACATATTTCAATAAGTATTTATTACATATTTTTAAATCACTTCTCATAATTTACATTAACAAGAAATAATTAATACATATTTATGTTGATTAATATAAGGCATCTTAGTCTCATTTTTTTTATTTTCAGACATAATTATTATAGTTAATTAATTTTTTTAAATTGCGTGATGTAATTTTTTTTTATATAAAAATGGAGGGAGTATAATTCAAATTGAAAAGATGTTCCTCTCACCTCTTTCTTTGTTATTTTGTTTACTTTTCTTGACACTCAAAGGTCTCTTCTCCACCCATTTCGGTCTTCAATTTTCAGATTCATCTCTCTTCCCTCTGTTTTTACATTTTCTTCTCTAGGCAAGTGAGAATTGTGTCACAGATGGACAGAAGTCACAGAACGCCAAGAAGCTCAAAGCTTAAAGAAAGTTCATTGCTTA